AGCCCTATCTCACATAATTAAAAACGTAAAGGAAAATTCCTGGATTCGCCCATTCGTCCAGATCTGCCAACTAACAATAAAATACTCGATTGATTTAATACCTTCAGAGTCATCATTACATACACATACATGTATGAATGTATGCATGTGTGAATGTTTGCTACCAAAATTTGCCAAACTTCTTTTTTGATCCAGGCATGTGTCAAAGTTCAGCATTGAAGTTTTTAATAAGGGATATATGAATACCAAATATAGTTAAATTAAGAGCAATTCTATTGTTCTCCAGTATCTACTGTCCTGAAGTGTAGCTAAAAGTAACTTTAGCAGAAGCTGCAGAGTTTCTTAAATTCTGAGTCACACATCAGTGCAGTTGTCAGCCTGGCATGGGCCGCAGCCTCCTCTCCGGGTGGGCTTTTGTTTTGTGGGTCACAATGTTTACAAGTAAATTATAGTCTTTAGTGCATGAAATTTGCATGATTTTACATATTTTTCAAATTAAGAAACCGATATACATAATCATTTCTAAATGTTGAAACTTGTTCTCAGTCTCTACATTATTTACCCAAAGACCTGCCAGTGTAAAACAGATGTTTGGGAAATGTGTGAGGATCTAAGGTTGAGAAAAGATAGAGGCTCTGACTGAATATCATCACCTGTGGTCTTTATATAATACATATTCAAAGCTGTCTTTAGAGCTGCATATATCTATCTATAATTATTCTTTATGAACTGTGTTCCAACAGTCCGGAGTTACTTGCAGATTTGTGATATAATATTTAAGCCAAAGAAAGGAATTCTTTAAACTTACATAATGTTGGCTTGAATGACACACATATGTACACAGATAAAAACTAGAATAATTTGGTTTGTGCTCCTGCATGCCAACCAATACCATTTCAGTGTATATAAATGGAATTTTTCAGACTCATGACCTTTGGCCACTGAAATCTAATCATTGAGTCCATGTGCCAACTGACCAAAGTCTAAAGACATTTCCTGAAATCAGACTTGAAATATCATGTTCAAGAGGCTAAAAACATGTTGTTCAGGCTATAAGGAACTTGACATTTGACACTAACCACCCAAATCATTTAATCCATGGGTCTAAGTGAATAAGTGCCGAATTCAAAATGATTCTCTTTATCTTAAAGGTACAGTGTGTAGAATTTTGTGATATCTAGTGTTGAAATTGCATGTTTCAGCTGAACACCCCTCACCTCACCCTACCCTCCCAAAAGTGAAAAAGAAACTGTAACAGCCTTCTTTGTCATAAAAACTCAAAAGGTGTTTAGTCTGTTCAGTCTGGACTAGTGTAAAATACATGGTGGCGTCCGTAGTGAGGACCCCCTCCATGTAGATATAAAGTATTTGAATATAAAGGGCCTTTTTTAGATGAAACGAACTAGTGAAAACATCATGAGGATTATTCTACATTAAATTCCTGCAAATAGTTCCCTTTCACCTAATTCTTACAAACTGGACCTTTAAGATAACAATCTCATCAGGCAAAAAGGGCTGTGTAGGCTCACAGTGACCTTGACCTTTAACCAGAAAAATATAATCAGGTCATCCTTGAGTCTAAGTGAATATTTCTGCCAGATGGGTGTTCCGGATATATTACCAAAATCTAATCAGTTCATATTTCAATCCATGTGAACGTTTGTACCAGATTGAAGAAATCCCCCCAAGGTGTTCCTGAGATGTTGCAGTCATAAGACCAAAAACGGGACTTGAAAGTTCACATTGTCCTTTGTGCACCAAATTCTAATCACTCCATCTGTGAGTCCAAATTAATATTTTTATAAAATCTGAAGAAATTCCATCAAGGTGTTCTTCAGATATCATGTTCAAGACAACGAGACGGATGGTTGGACATCCCACAGCTACTGGCCGTGTCCAGTGCGCCAGCAGAGTATAATGATTATTGGCAGTTTGATTAGCAGTGAAAAAAGAGAACATGCACACTCATTTTGGCAGGACTCCCACTGTTCACATTTGAAAACGTTCTTATTTAACTAATTTAATTAATATGAATATCATTTCAAATGGATAATTCTGTCAGCATGAATATTCTCATGCCCAAATACCTCATTATACAGTTCAAGCTCTCTGATAGCTCAGTACATTGAAGCATATGTACCACTGAGTGATGAGTGGTCTTTTGGAGATGTGCACTACACCATGATAAATAGTATGATGCAGCCTGGATGTGGCCATGACGCATAACCTTTTTAAGGCCCATGATTTGCTGATTCAATGTTTGAGGCAGACCATTCTGGCTAGACATCATATTAGTCCTAATTTTACAACTCTCTGGAGTCACTGGCATTTGTGCTTGAGTCACAGATTACATTTTCTGTATATAAAGAAGATTTTTTACAAATAGAAGTATAAGATTATTCTTATGGAGTATTTGTCATTAATTTAATGAAAGGGCCATGGTCTTTGGTTGGCACCATGAATGCATCCTGCTAACACGCACCAAGCAAAATTACCTTTGTAAGTGTCGGTGCAGTATTGGGCTGTGTATCTGCCAGAGGAGTTTTTCTGTCTATGTTACTGGTGGTGTTGGCACGTATGCTCAGGAAGCTTATTTAACAAGCATCTCTGAATCACTCCATAGAACTGAGCTGAAAGTTTGATTGAACTAAAAATATTCCCAGCTCAGAGTTGGACTTGACAGTTGTTTATGAAGCTTCATACACAGTGTCTCAGGAAATGGCAGACAGTATCTTGTGAGTCAGAGTGATATCATCATTTTAACACATACTGTGTTTTTTCTTCGTAATTACCATACACAGTCAGGACTAACAATCAGATCTACATATTGTACATAGACACGGTGCTGGATTTCTTTTCTGTGGTTCTGCCTATGCCTATGAGTAATTAATGTGAAAGTGCACCGTGGATTCATTACAAGGTGTATCCTCCGCACTACAGAAAGGATTTTATGTGAGCTGTTCAGTGACAAATCCAAGGAGACCACCAGTTTGAGAAGCATCTTTTTAAATCATGTTAAGAGGCAGAGAAATGATTGAATAGGAATAGTGCTGATGGAGCTCCAAGGTGCAATAAACCCAATCACAGCTGTGAGGGAGCCAAAAATATCACTGCTGTAGATCTCACCAACAATTCAATGCAAAACTGCAGGATTGAGTTTTCTGTGGAGCAAAAACAGAATTATGTGTTCAGTGTTTGTTTTTGAAAAGAAGTCATGATACAATCAGTCATTTTAAAGACGTTTTATATATGTTTATACATATGTCCCTCTTGTCTTGATTCTGTCTCTTACAATTAGATCTTGATCTGAAATAGACTAATCAAGTAAACATTACATAGGTATTGCTAAGTTATTGTTGAGCATTTTTGCCACCTGATGGAACAACATTGCTTTTTTAACAGAGGACTTTTTGTCATGTGCAATGACTCTTCTGTGTGTTAATCATAGTGGCTCTCTGTCACACTTGAACAACTATGGTTTTCATACAATGACAAAAAGTCTGCAGTGAAAGGGCTTATTGAAGGAGATATTAAATATTGATTGCAGCCCTTGTATCCTATGGAGGTTGTGGCTCCAGTTAGAACCTTAAATCCATAGCAGTCAGGTATTTTCTTTATAAATAAATGAAGTAAATGGTTTTAATTTCCGGGGCCTATACTGAACAGTGTCCCTCTCTGATTGATTAGACTGATTTTAGATTTTTGATAAATGATTAGTCTGAGCAACAGGGTGGCATTTTGGGGAAATATGAAAAAAGTCAATCAGATGACGAACTCACATTTTGGCAATTATCGGCCATGTCTTTGGGCAAATCACTTAATTCTTACCAGATCTGCTGCACAGCTGTAACATACCTCCTGGAAAGCAGAGAATATTTATTTTTAATTTACCTCTTGGATTCCAGCTGGGATCTAGCAAGTGGGGTGTAAATGGAGGTAATGTTTCCAAAAACTTATGGAGGAGAAGACAGAAATTCCACAGGGATGCATAGTTTAAAGGGGGCCTGAGGAAATAAAATATCGGGGGACCCAGAGTTCCTGTAGCTACACCCCTGTACGGACCAGTTAATTGTCTGTCAAGAAGCCCTAGAGGCCCAGTGATAGTCTGTAATAGTAATATTGTAACAGGGACAGATCCAGGGGTAGAGGGGGGTGGCACAGGCTCCAGCTGTATTCTGATTGGCCCCTGCAGTGCCCCTGTCCTGTCCTTTTTTTAAATAAACTAGTGATTTACTACCAATTCTACATAAATAATAAATAAAGGACAATTTATTCAGAATTCTTTTTTCTAAGTTTTTTTGGAGTACACAATGTGCTTCACAAAGCCTTAATTTTAATTGCTCAAAGCTATAGATCCACATTATGTTTTCATTTGAAAATGCTTTAACTCTGTTACAGATACCGCTGGCGTCCACTCTACTTCTCACTTTTAAAGCCACTTAAACTGAAAGGTTTGAAAATGCTGCTGACCCTGTTTTAATTTGAAAACTCCAAAGCTGCGTTTCAGACAGGACAGGCAGAAACGGAGATGTTTGGAAACTATGATGTAGACACAACCGCTTGCAGATTGGATCTATTCGTCATGAAATAACATTCGCTGATACGTCGGGCTCCTATCACACGACCCTCTTAGGGAAGAAAACAACCAACATTAGCTGCCAGTGTAATACACAGTGAGGATAATCAATCTCAAGCGTTGCTGACCCTGTTGTCTTTGCTTACAGCTGTTGTACAGTTTAATTCTGCATTTTACAGTGATAGAACTATTTACACGAGTAGAACACAAGCTGTTATTAAAACAATCTGTGACAATTCTGCAACTAAAAACCAAATGCCCAGTGCACATGAGTGGTCAGATGACATGCGTCTGCAGGCGTGTTAGTATGGACGGGGATAAGAACTGATCATCAGTATGAAAACACTGTTTTCAAATGAAATGGTAGTAGTATGAATGTAGTCTTAACTGAGCATCTTACTGAATCACTAATTGTACATAGATGTTGCACATGTAATTGGCCCCTCTGTGTGGTTTGTGGCCCCTTATTCAGAAAAATCCTAGATCCGTCACTGTAGCGACATGGAACATGCCAGCATGTTCAGGTGTTGGAGTCATGATTAGAATATCTTTAAAGATGAACATTCAGACCAGCGTGAGTGTCATTCTCTCACACAGAGAGGGGACATCGTGTCTGTCTCTGAACACCCTCTCACCCAGCTTCACCACACGGTGGCGCTGTGCCTCTCCTTCCCCACGCTTCTCCTCGCCTCCGCCGCCATAAAGCTCAGTCTCCCTCCCTCCTGCTCTTCCTCCTCCTCCTCCTCCTCCTCCTCCCTCTACTTCCACCGCTTCCTCCCGTCGCGCTGCGCACAGCCACAGACGGGTCCTCCAGCTCCGTGCAGCCCCGGTACGAAGAAGATGGTCGGCGGCTTGTGCGCTCGCAGGTTGGCCCGCCGGTCGCGGTCCGCGCTGATCGCAGCCCTCACGGTGCTGCTGGTGCAGACGCTGATCGTGTGGAACTTCAGCAGCCTCGACTCTGGCGAGGACGGAGGCTCCAGCGTGCGGGAGAAGAGGGACCGGGTCGCGGGCAACAAAGCCGCGGGCAGCGACTATTTCCAGCAGCGGGTCCAGCAGCGGCAGCAGCAGCATCTTCCTCCTGCGCCGCCAGGGAGGGGGGCGTCTCGCCACATACAGCAGCCGGTAAGACAGACCGAGCCTCTGCCGATGTGATCATGTCATGTAGAAATAAAAGATTGTGTTCATCATCGCCGGGGATGGAGCCCGGAGCGGTCGGCACTGGCAGGCGGGTCAAAACATTCCCAGTTGCGCTTTTTGGGAGACGAGCACACGGCCTCCGCTCTGAATGAACGAGTGCTCGGTTGTTGTCAGCCTCGCAGGGTCATGATAGCATGTGTGAGGAGGCGGACGAGCCCCCTCATTCCCCCACTGATGATGCTGAGGAGACGGGCATCCTCAGCTGAACGCTCGCTGGGGACAGGAGCCACATTTCGCCGCGGGTTATGAGCGCACCTCAGCCCGGACTCCAGCTTCAAAATTCCAAGGCTTAAAATGAAATGTTAAGTCAGCGTGTAGTTCACTCCAGGACAGCACGGCACGGCAAATCCCCTTCATGAGATAGTAGCTGTGGAGGTGTGTGGATAGTCTGAGTCTCTGACTGGGGCAGTAGCTTCTACCTGTCACGGTCTATTTGGTGTTTAAAGTCAAACACAGGAGCTGCACGGCTCAGCAGCTCTGTGAGAGCAAGGCCAAACTGAAACATAATCTCATTTGCAGGGGTTGCTTTTGATGAGTGCTCAAAGATTAGGGTCGTCTGTTCTTTGTGGAAATGCAAACAGTTTTATTGGTAGTGGCAACATAAAACACAAAAGGTCAAGATAGATATGATTGCGGAGCCAGAGCACACATGCACCCCTGCATAATGAACATCTTGCACACAGAATGAATAAATTAAATTACACATAGCCTGTGGAGCTGTGTCCATTCTCAAGCGGAGCAGCTAATGCACAGTGGAAATTTGAAAAAAATAGCTTCCCCCCAAATCTCAAATGTTTATTTGCAGACTCCGCTGACTGACTGCTCCCTGCGCCCTGGAGGCTTACTCACCGAGAAGGTTTTTGTATTTGTACGGTGCTTCTGCGGAGCATGTGATTAATATCCCCCACCTGATGTCTGAAATTAAATTCCCCCAAAATTGATCGAATGATCTCTCAAGCAGTCAGCCCCCCCCGCAAAATGAAAAAGAAAGAATTTGGACGCATTTACTCCTGGCAAGCTTTCTGCATTTTTTCCCTTCATAGAGCTGCCAGCCATTCAAGTATAGCCCATACTCCTCTTCAGCCACCATGCAACCAGCAGATAACCGGCTGCGATGTAGTGTGATACACTGTGGCCTCCGCAGACAGTCACTCACTCTGAGCCCTGCACTGTATCATCTGTCTCCTCCGCAGATTTTACAGTGACTCACTCACTTCATCTGCTAGGACCCACTCGTCCCACCTGCCGGCATCTCCACAGCACAAAGTCACAGCAAGGACGGGCTAGATTTGTGCCATTTGTTCTGTACTTTGACAGACGGACAATCCCTCAATGAAATATCAGTGTAATATCCCTGGAAATGGTCCTGCAGGGACTGAAGACTGTGAGGTTTGTTAGTGAGTTTGCATTAGAGCCCTTTAGGATATGAGTAGTTCTCCTTGTGAGGAATATTTGTAATTTTACTAGAAGAACTCATAAAGCATAAAGGACACAACAGCAGCTGTGGAACGGTTGTGTCACAACCTGCTCACGCTGCGTCAACACCCATTTGTGCAAATGTGTGGTGCTATTAAAGCACACAGTGGATCTGCACCCTTGAGCTTTTAAAGAAGGGCTTTCCTCCCCACAGGCCCAAAGCACTTCACACTGCCTGTATATGCCAGTCAGTCCACCGGCCTGTCAGTCAGTCCACCCGCTCTCTCTCTCCAGTTCTGTGGGCCCCCCCCCCAACTCTTAACATTCAACTAGTCGCCCTCAGCCACATTCATTCCCTCAACTGGTTAATCACTGCATTTTCATTCTTTCTCCCCTTGTGGGTGGTGTGTGTGTATGTTTGTGTGGCTTGGCATGGCAGAGTGGTCCAGCCTGAGGGTGACGCATAAGCGCCAACTGATTCTATATACGAGGCACCACGCCTGACAGAGAGGAGCTCGGCACTTCCAGAATAGAATGAACCAGAAGCTACAGTGTGACAATAGCTGCGTCTCTACATGATAACTTGTGTTGGACGGAAACGTTATGCACAGCCCAGGATGTGTCATCCTAGCAGGCAGGAGCTGCGGTCGTCATTAGTGGTTGTCTCCTGTTGCGTCTTTTGAGGAAATAGTGATGCCGAGCGTGGATGTTTTTGTTTTTGTCATCCAACAGCCACCACAGCTTGTTGTTCACATCTCAGTACACTATCTATAGTGTCTGTAATCACATGAAGAACATGAAGTTAGCTGTGAGTTACAACCTGTTGCAGATGCCGTGTCAAAAAAATTCCTACTTATTAATTAGTCTGTCTTGTTTTGCCTGACATTACATGGTCTTTAAATAATAATTAATAAGTGCTTATTAAGGTGGCCCTGGAAATGGATGGGAAAAACTGCTAATGTGCTGAAATGAAGTTATACCTTCAGCAGGAGACTGAGTTAAAGCTTTAAAAGGCATCTGACTCCGAGCTTCACATCTGGTCGTCAGCATTTTCTTTCCATCTGCCACGGTAGTCATATACTGTCATGATCCCCATGTGCCCAGCGGGTGTCCGACTCACACGTGTTGTAAAGAGTTTTCCTGTTAGTCATGGTAATACATGTAACATTACCTCTGATGTCCACTTTTCCAGTGTTTTCCTAAACGGTTTCCTACGGCGTAGACGACATTTCAAATGGTCTGAAAATGCACGTTCACCTCAGGTTTTTTTTCTGCATTCCACAGCATGACGATAATACTTATACTACATGACAAGCTTAACCACAAAATATCATACATCATCTCATTATAAAAACACCGTCACTGAAGTAATTTTCCCACAGTGGTACACTTGGCTCAGGTCTAATTTATACAAAGAAATATGAGCCAGCGGATATTTTACTTGAATAGTTTGTGAGTATTCAAATATTTTGTTCCTCTTTTCTGTGAGAGGAAATTACAGTGCAGCATGTAAAAAAAAATCTCAGATTCTTGTCCTGTCGGCGGTGTGGGGCTGACCATATTTAGTATGATATTAATTATCTCATGTTATTTAAAGAAAATACTTCTTGTTTTCACATAGTTGGTAACTTTTGTTGCAAAGTCTGTTTTTTTGGAACTTGACAAGGAAAAGCAGAATCTTTTGAAAGACTGTCAGAATTAACACTAAAGGGCTTGAAAAGGATTTGGAAAACACTCATGATACTTGCATGCGACCATATAACAATGCGCTTCACATGTGCTTTTCATTTGGGAGCTTCATCGGAATCCGTCGCTGCTACCAGCCTGTTCTCCAACCACCAGCACAACCACAACATGATTCATCCCACTTTGTCCATGATCACAGTGCTGACTCACACACACACACACACACACACACACACACACACACACACACACACACACACACACACACTAAAACTCACACAAACATCCAACATTATGTCCCTATGTAGATGCAGAGAAGCAGCTACACGCTAACACACCCACATACACTTACATATTTATAGCAACACATACAGTCACATATACACAATGTAAAAGTAGTTTTTAGGAATAGCCAGACAGTGTAGTGCCATGACACAGACAAGGGGGCATATATATACATGACACAGCTCCATGGCTGCAAGGTCTCTGAGTGTGTGAGTGTGAGTGTGTAATTAGGTCTATGTGTGTAGCATCTTATTTACATATTTATTCCGCTGAGTTGAATGTGTCTTCTCCCACGTCCTCGGATAAACTAAAGCTGTGGTCAGCAACTGGGTCAAACCGCAGGTCAAAATTGTCGCCACATCATTTTGTCGATTTGAACATTTTGATTTCACCATATCGGACTGACTTCATGTCACAACATTTATAGAATCACTTCCTCTTCAGCAAATCTTCAAAGTTAAAGCAAAACATTCATTTTGTTGTAGCAATGCTTTATTTTGAGCAGAATTACAGATCTTTTATTTTTAAAAGTTTTGAACTTGACTGTGTTGATTGATTGATTGTACCAAACCTCTGAAATAGCTTAGATGCAATGTAGAAAAAAAAAAAACAGAAGTTAACTAAATTCTCAAACTTACATATAAACCATATACATGAACAGCAATATTACAAATTAAGTATAATTTTATGAAAAACATTGACTATAAAAATCCTGATTGTAGATTAGGTATGGATGAATTTAAAGCTTTCTAATTTCACCCTGCACCATTGACTATTTATAAAAAGCTCTGCACACAACGTCTATTATAAAGAGTAATTAAAAGTGAAGTCTGTTGTAGAACCAAGGACATTGCCAGAGCTTATATTACAGAGGTGGATCACAGAATGATGCTATTTTGTGGTGTGGTATTTTTTGGTGTAACTTTTTGTACACTACTATTCTCATATTTAATTTCCTGAAAATCTTTTCATTCCGTTTGCAACAGATTGGCCCTTCTCACCTTTCCCATGCTCTTCTCTCATGTAGCAGGCTCCTGTGCCACTCACTGTCAGCGCTGGGTTTTGTATTGTAAGCAAGCCACTCCAGCAGTGGTAATTTGTTCTAAAATTGCCACTCCCTGAAAGTAAATCACATCGTGAGTGTGAGCTTTTTTGCTTTAAACAGACGTTTGAACATACATAATTACAGTCCAGAGACACCCAGGAGATGCGCTACTGTGTGATTTAAAATTTCAAATGTCCCGTATCATTACGCCAATAAAGTGTTACTCTGTAAAACCTGTAATGAGGGAAAAGTAAAGTACAGCCTGCATATCAGTCCGTCCATCTGTCGTTACCATTTCACGTACGGCGAGCTTCTTTTTCAAGTGCTGCTAGTCTCTGAGAGAGTTGGAAACATATTCACATCTGAGGGAAGAAGTACCTCAGACTTGAAAGAGATGCATCGAAAAAACCCAAGACACTTTGATGTTGGAGGGTAATTTGTATACATGACACCATCTGTCTCGAAAACCTGCAATGGAGAAAACCCCCCAAAA